CATCAAGGGTTATTTAAATCCCACATGGGCAAAATATAGCTCAAGTGCTGGAAGTGATTCCTTGACCATCTCCATCTGGCCCCCAACATCAAGTAAGGGTCCCCGCAGTACAGAGGGTGAGTTTCTTGGTTTGTGGGCAGAGTTTGTCCTAACCGTGCTTAATGGTTAAAATATAGTTGCTTTCTGGTCATTTCGATTGAGCTACACGACAGTTGCCCTTGGCTTCTAATCTGGGGAAAACAGCATTTTCCATTTTCTATTTCTTTGACAGATCCTGAATTAACAGAAGTTAAGAGAAACAGAAAATTGAAAATGCTGTTTCCAATCCAATGTCTTGAACAAACTCCTCCCACACAACAAGAAATTCCCACTTACTGACTGCAGAGACTCCCTTCTCCTAAACATGCTCAAATTTAAAGCTGCCTAAATTACTAAAATCCAGCGTTTTACCAATAAATTTTGAGGTGGAAACCAAAAGTCCACAGAACCTGGTTGTTTTACAGCAGAGCGTCAATGGTGGTGTGAGATGGGCATAATTAATTTGGACTTAAAAAAAAGTTGCCTCTGTACTTCTGTCTATTGTACACTACTGGAAGAATTTTAATAAAACATTTAGGAAGTATTCATTGGATGTACATCTGCAACTGTTGGATCACAGATGGCCAACTGGCATTAAAAAAAACACAAAAATATCTATAATTCAGTCGGTTTAGCAAAAATTCATCTATAATTTGTCGTGGTAGTAGGTGAGATGAATCTCCAATCGCACAAAATCTTTTAAAAAATTTTGCTGTAAACCATTTTGAGTCAAATATGTTTGCAAAAATATTTCATGAAGTGCTGGATGGATTTAATGAAAATTTCTGCAAATAGTCAGTTACAGAGGTAGAATTTAATGGCTAACTTTTGATTTTCAAGATAACTGTCGCAGTACACACATAAAATGGCTCAAATTCAAAGTAAGTTTTTCCAATTGTGTTCTGTTAATTTTCTTAGTGTTGTAACAAAGGCATTCATATCTACTCATAATGTTACTTATTGCACAAGAGATTTTCTTAAWATTATATCATTAACTTGTGGTGCTGGTCCAAAAACCAAATACAGCAGATAAAATAAGCATTGAAAACGTCCCCATTTTTATCAGTAAATATATTACTAGAGGTGCTAATGACGTGAAATTTTCACCAGTTGTCGGTAACAACCCAGGTGTATACATACAAAGAAATCAAACCATAAATGTCTAGAAATGAAGTTATTTGAAATAATGTGATTTATTGAGCTGGAATTGTGAAAGAGTGGTTCAGGGAGCATGAGACATCATTTCACACATGGATTGGCTCCACAGAGTCCACTGAGAATCTTTGGGATGTGCTGGAGAAGGCTTTGCTCAGCGGTCAGACTCTACCATCACTGATGCTAGATCTTGGAGAAAACTTAACACAACACTGGAAGGAAATAAATCTTGTGACGCTGCAGAAGCTTATCAAAACAATGCCACAGCTAATGCATGCCGTAATCAAAGCTAAAGGCGGTCCAACAAAATATTTAGGTGTGTGACTTTTTTTAAATTTTTTTATTTATTGGTGGCATCTTTTATTTTGGCCAGGCAGTGTATGTGTTCCTTCACAGAATCTGGAAGCTTGACACCCAAAATCAACTGTGATGTTGACTGTTTGGGCCAAGACTGCAGTTGTCCATAATGTAAATGCAGTACCACACTAACACAGGAGCTTTTTCCTGGTCTTTTTATAGACCCCCAACTGAAATATTCAAATGTGAAAAAGAAAGGATTTAAAAACAGGATATGTCTACTTTAAGTTGGGGGTACATTAGCTGCCAGACAGAAGATATTTACTTTCACAATAAGATATTAAATTTACCTGATAACTGAATGTGTGTTGCCGTTGTATGTAGGCTGATGAAGGTCTTAAATTTGAGATGGTGCAGGTTGTTTTCTTCCAGGCTGAGAACTGCCAGACTATAGAGTGGAGCCAGAGAATCAGGGTCTATATGGGAGATGTTGTTGTTGTTCAGCTGGAGCACCTAAACAGAACCAGAACATTCATTAACTTGATACAGTTTACAGATATGAAGGAAATTTTGTAAATGATCAACTGAATGTTAGATCCACTCTTGTATTTTATACTTTCTGATCATTGCAGCCTTAAGTTCAAAAAGACAATTAAAGTTCTTGACAGACAACCTTAAAATGGATATTATGTATATTGCGGGAGAAATAAGTATTGAACACGTCAACATTTTTCTCAGTAAATATATTACT